CTGAATGTTAAATAGTGGCAATTACCGCAAACAGATGAGGCACTAGTGAATCACTACCTGGTAGCTAAATTGGAAAAACTCTCTAAGGTACCATCCAACACTCTTGTTGCTGGCTAGTAAAATGAAATTGTTTCGGAAGACGGAAAACATACAGAACGTGTGCTTATGTCGTTTAGGTTACGCCACATTATATATATATATTATGTGTCGTAACCTAGTAACTTCGCGTTCGAGTTCTTTTATTTATAAATATATTGCTTACTAGTAACTCGCCTATATAGACGCCTATATACACGTTCTACTGCTGGGCACAGGCCTCCCCTCATTTCTGAGAGGGTTTTAGGGCAAGGAAATGTCCACCCCGCTGCCCCAATGCGTGTTGGTGAACTTCACATGCTTTTGTTTTTTTATTACCTATTTCTCATACTCATAGGTTTCCTCACGATGTTTTACTTCACCGCCGAGCACGTGGTAAATCAGCACTTAAAATGCCAATTAACAATTTCATTGGTGCGGATTGTTCGCGTATTGTGAAATTTACAGCGAGCGCTAACCATATGAGCTATCACGGCTAATTCGCCTACGTAGGATCTTTTAATTTTGCGTTATTCAGATTTAATATAATCAAAGACCATTTCGTTTATCAACTTTTTTTTAATATCTCTAATTTTTTAGGATAAAATATAGCTACGAGGATTCCTGGCATTGCTCTTTATCTGATCGTGAGATTTCATTACAATCGCTTCAGCCATTCCGAAGATTTAGCCCGGACTAACAAACATACTGACAACATTTTTTTTAAAGTTTATTCATGACTATTAAGCAAGCAATAACCCCCTGAGCTCAATATAAGGCAGTTACTTCGATATTACCGACAAAGAGAAATGAAATAGCATATGGGGGACAGCATCTTCAAGATAACACCTTATAATCTATACAAATAAATAAAATTAAAGTGTCTGTTTGTAATGTCAAAATTACAGTTTTTTACTAAATTCATATGAAAGTAAATACGGTACTTATAACTAAAATACAATTTTTAAAATTTTTGTCTGTCTGTCTGTCTGTTTGTTCCGGCTAATCTTCGAAACGGCTGGACCGATTATGACAGGTTTAATAAAACAGCTTTTTACTGAATCCATATGAAACTATATACGGTACTACTAAAAGTATAACAAAAAATTTTGGTTTTACTTTTGTCTCTTCGCTTCTTCTGGCTAAACTCTAGGTTCCACAACTCGTTGTCAAATGGTTGGACCGATTTTGATGGGACTTTCACAGGCAGATAGCTGATGTTACAAGGAGTAACTTAGGCTACATTTATTTTAGAAAAAGAATTAGGGTATCACACAAAAACATTAACCCTAACACGCGAGCGAAGTCGCGGGGAACAGCTAGTAATAAAATAAAACTGCGGTTGCCACCTCGCCTGTAAAGCGTGGCAACAATGGTAAATATTCCGTTTATGTAGCACAATGGCAAAGACACAACTATGGGGGAGGCCTGTATTTAGCAGTGGACTTTATTAGATAAGCTGTGACGAATAAATGAATTAAATATTGAATCAACATTAATATAACTCCAACAATAGTTAGTGTCTTGTTACAACTGGTAAATAAGTCATTAAAAATTATAATGTAATAAGAATGTGTAATATTATACTCAAATTATTTCAGCCAGGCTTAGTTACAGCCTCTTTATGCACCTACTACTAGGTACAGACCACTTATTTTTTTTTATAGGATAAGGGTGACAAACGAGCACACAGTCCACCTGATGGTAAGTGGTTGCTGCGGCCCATAGACATCTACATCTATCCTTGATTACGAATCAAAATAAAGATGCGTTGTCACCCGTGAGGACTAAGATGGAATGCCTCATTTCCATTGTATTTCCAGTGTATTACCAGTGTATTTGTAAGTGTTTTAGGCCAAGGAAGTGTCCGTCGTATGTCCCTAACACAAGATGTTGGACTTCACAATGTCATCGAAATCACCTCTCTACGATATTTTTCTTCATCGCCGAACTCGTGGAAAATCTGCACTTAATATAGCAATTAACAATATTATTGGTGCCGGCGGAAATCGAACATGGCTTGCTCATGTAATGTGAATTATTATTTAATATAAATAAATATTAGAATCTATTACAGCTCATGAATACATTACACATTCTAGAAAGACATTTCTCTACGTTAATATCAAATTGTATATCTAGAATGTTCCACTTATGTATGCATACGCAAATGAAATGTTACAAATATGAAACTTTTTTGTTCTAGTTGATAAACATGAGGAAAAAATTATCCGGTATTTACCCATCAGGCTTTCCTTTGTTATTAAAGCTTCTGAAATAAAATTTTCCGAAATACTTTGCAACTCTAGGATTAGTTTTAGTTGTTAACAATAAAATATAAACTCCGGTGACGTTGGATTAACATAAATTCAAAGGCCCACGCGAATAATGTCGTAAACAACTTTTGACGCATAAATTATCTGAGTGATTAGCATTTTGTATTTTTAATATTTGTTAAGTTAACGTCACGAGTCAATTCAAAGCGGTGACAAATAGGAACGATATCGCGAGCATAATCGCGTTATATAATGGTTCACATTGTCGCGTGTTCTTGTTGCAAGTTGCATAGCGAAACGGTACTTCGACACAACTCGCTACGAGCCTTAATGTAATCTAGATATTTCGCATCGCCGCATTCCCACGCGTTCGCTGCGGTACACTCGAGGAATTAATCGGGAAAGTTTTTCAAGGAAAGTAAAAATGTTTGTCAAATCTTACAAAAATGCTTAAAAAAAAGTTCTTAAAAAACGTATTTACTTACGTTAATCGACATAATATGTATTCGTTTTTTATGATTCCAATTTTTTATGATTTATGTATACATGAAAGTTTTAAGTAAACATTACCCGTGTAGTGGCTGTAAATATCCACTACCAAATATTGTCTTGTTGTTGAAACAGGAGATCGCCAGCAGTATCTTCCTGAAATCAACCCAAAATAATAAACTGCAGTTGCTGACCTACCTGCCAAGCGCGGCGACTATAGGAAAATCCTCCCCGAGGCAATCTATGAAGATGGCCATAGGACACAGCGGTGGACTATATATTGACTATAATATATTCTATTATACTTTTAAAGGCGATGGAAACATTAAATCTAATTTTACGGATTAAGAGTCCGATAATCAAGAATCCGAAAGGACATTATTATTTTATCTTTCTTTTTATTGTTGAGAAGAAGATACGAAAAAAAACTTATTTTTAAATATTTATTCAAACCAGCATCTTTTACTGTCCAACAAGATGGCTGCCGTTATTATTATTATTACGATCTATTCAAAACATACAAATAATAATAAGTAATAAGAGAACTCGTACGCACTTTTTTCCCCGGCTGTATTCAGCGACGTGATTAATCGAAATCTTTTGTCCGTCCGTGCATCGCTTCGTAGGCAGATCTCATCAGAATATCTCGCTTTATTATAAACCTCGCTCGATTGTCTCCTGCGTTGTTATGTAAGATGTATAATGATGTCATTTGTCCTTGTGTACAGTCGTTAGTTTTATTAGTAGTACTTTAATGCGCATTACTTATGTTATTCTGCGTCTCAATAAATTTTCGATGTCTGACTTTTCTTTATATCTTTTGTCGTTGTTCTTTGTTTATATCTTTTGTCGTACATAAGCTTAGTATGCTTTTAATTTTTTGCTTCCAAACAACATGTAAATAATGTCATTTATTATTCCCCGATTACTAGCTTTTTTCATCAGATAAATAAATATATTAGAATAAAACTACTTTTACGGATTTTATAGCGTTTAATTAATTTATATTTCTTATTTTTATTAATTCCCGACGTTTCGGGTGCTTTCCAGCACCCTTGGTCACGGGGGACTGGAAAGCATCCGAAACGTCGGGAATTAATAAAAATAAGAAAACTAAGTTAATTAAACGCGATAAAATCCGTAAAAGTAGTTTTATTCAATGTGTAGTGTTCGCGTAAATATAAGAAATCAAATATATTAGACTTAATGAAAAACTCCAAATAAGATTAATTTACTATAATAAGATAAATTTAAATCAGTAAAATATAAGGAAATATAATAGAATAATATAAATGTTTAAAACGTGATTAATGACCTATATTATAGTGTACGTATGTATAAATAAAGAAAATACTTCAGAACAAATAGAGATAGAATCACCATTTTGCTGCGGCAATAATCTACTAACTTGCTACTTTTCCCACAGCAAACCACTTAGCTCATTCTTCAAGTTCAATCCGGTCATTCGGTTGTTGACTACCTCTAACATAACTCCTCTAACATAGCAGTGAATACTTAAACTCTAAAAACTAAAGTACAAACCGACGTTAAATACCTAAGAAATATATTTTCCACGTATATTAGTAATAGCAGACATTTGCAATCGGGGAAAGTGATCGGGTAAAATTGCTGGGAAGCTCCTTTCTCCTAATTGGTGTCTATGAGCTACAAAGATCACATACAATACCATACATCATCGTCGTCATCATTACAGCCCTTCACAAGTCCATTGCTGAACATAGACCTCTCCCAAAGAATCCCACAAAGCTTCGACTTTCTACATGTCTCACCAGCTCGTCACTACATCAAGTGTGGGAAACCCTACACTTCGTCTACCGGTATGAGGCTAACACTCGAAAACCTTTTTCCCCTATCGGTTCTTCGAGCTATATGGCCGGCCCGTTGCCACTTCAGCTTACTAATCCGTTGAGCTGTGTCGTCCTGTCCTGTTTTGCTGCGGATATCCTCATTTATAATTCTATCACGCAGAGAAACCTCCGTAGCTCGCTGAGCGATCTTGAGCGTCCTCATACGGCCAGTAGTGAAGGACCACGTCTCAGAACCATAAATCATCACTGGCAACACGCATAGGTTGTAGTTGTACTATTTTTTAGTAAAATAAGAATTGAATTCGCTAACCTCTTAATGTTTTTGTTACAGATATCTCAGGAATGACAGTCATCTTCTTGATCGGAAAGCTTTTCTGGTATGTAGTATATAATAATAATAATAATTTTTTATTTCAGATATCAAAAATCCATAAGTTGTTATATTATAACTCTAAATATATGTAACTGCCTCATAATAACAAATTATAATTTTTCTTTACAAATATACCTCGCTTTCTTCAAAGGTAAAATAAAAGAACATTATCGGCATATTTTAAATTTTATGTTTGCGAAATAAGTAATGAAAATACAGAATTAATTTTAGCAGCAGATTTAATATGCGGTATAAATTGAACATGATATTTTAAAACTAGCAGAACTACATTAACAATATTATCGATAACCCATTCCCGTCTATTCGGATACGCAGCCGATACCAGCGGGGGTTACAAGGCGCCTATACTAAAGCGAACACTGGCAATCTTCGATGCACATAAAACGATAGTCGCGACATTTCTCGTTATCTGGCCCGGCGTACGGCGCAAACGATTCGGAAAATCGAACTGAGACCGACCGTGTCGGCGTCCATTACCGGTATTAGAGTATTGAGCGTTCGCTCAGCGATCTCTATCGCCAAGCCACCAGCTAACGCCGGCTCGATGAATGTGGTTTTAGGTCTCTTTTTATTTGCGTACATTGAATACAGAGAGCGGTAACATCCCACCTCGGTATTGAATTCATTCACTACATCAGCGGGAAAGATATGAGATAGTGTATTTATTTTTATAAAACGAAAGTGACAAACGAAATCACACTCCACCTAATGGTAAATTGCTACTGAAGCCCATGGACACCTGCAACCATATTCAAGCAAATGCTACAGATGCGTTTTCACCTCTAAGGTTGAGTTTGAATGATGAGGTAGATAGCAATGCAAGCACTGCCTACCCAGCCATACTCCTATGTTCGTAAAGAGAAGGACCGCACACTCACAGAAAGCCTACCCAAAAATCGCAGCATATTTGCTGCTGTGCTGCGTTATATTTAGAGGACCGGAGACCCTATTCAATAGATCGAGGCATTCCATGTTATGCTCTAGTATGACATTGTATCTTAATTTTAGTTCTTAATCGAGTATAGACGTAAGTTTCCATAGTCCACACCATTCACTTATCATAGTGGTAGAGCTACGCGGCAGCTTTAACAGTGGTAGAGATACGCGGCAGCTTTTGCTGTCGCACGGATGGGCCGGCTCGAACCGCGGTGGTACCACGACCTCACAGAAAACCAGCGTGAAGTAGAAGTTTACCTCTGCGTTTCGATTGGTGAGTGCAGGTGGCCGGAGGCCCTTTTTACTGGAAATGAGGCATTTCATCTTAGTCCTCACGGGTGACAACGCATCTACATTTTGATTTGTAATAGAGGATAGATGTAGATGTCTATGGGCCGCAGCAACCACTTACCATCAGGTGGACTGTGTGCTCGTTTGTAACCCTTATCCTATATATAGTGGACTGTGTGCTCACTTGTCATTCTTACTTTATATAAAAATATGTGTAATATCCAGACCGGTGATGGAGAACAGCGTCAAAAGTTAGATATCTAGTACTATGAACGCTAATTTGCCTGCCAAGCGTGGCGATTTCAAAATATCCTCACTTCAATAGGAGAAGCCCTTGTCCAGAAGTAAACTATTATAGGCTATTAAAGAAGAATAATGTATGTTTCGAGTTAGATGCAGATCTTAATGTGCATTTACAATTAAAATTGACTACTCTGCTGTACAACCAGTGCGTGTTGCCAGTGATGACTTATGGAACTGAGACGTGGTCCTTCACTGCTGGCCGTATGAGGAAGCTCAAGGTCGCTCAGCGAGCTATGGAGAGGGCTATGCTCGGAGTTTCTCTGCGTGATAAACTTAGGAATGAGGATATCCGCAGTAGAACCAGAGTAACTGACATAGCCCAACGGATTAGTAAGCTGAAGTGGCAGTGGGCCGGCCATATAGCTCCAAGAACCGACAACCGATGGGGAAGAAAGGTTCTCGAGTGGCAGCCTCGTACCGGTAGGCGAAGTGTAGGGCCTCCCCCAACGAGATGGTGTGACGACCTGGTAAGACATGCAGGAAGTCGATGGATGCAGGTGGCTCAGGACCGTGCTTTGTGGCATTCTTTGGGGGAGGCCTATGTTCAGCAGTGGACTTGTGAAGGGCTGTAATGATGATGATGATGATGACTCTGCTGTTAGCTTTTTTTATAGAATAAGGATGACAAATGAGCACACAGTCCACCACAGGTAAGTAGATGCAGAGGCCCATAGACATCTACATTTATCCCCGATCAAGAATCAAAATGCAGATACGTTGTCACCCCTGAGTACTAAGATGGAGTGCATCGTTTCCAGTAAAAAGTATCTCCGGTTCTCTACACTCACCATACGAAACACAGCAGCATTGAGCTGCAATTTTACGCTGGTATTCTGTGAGAGCGTGGTCCTAGTCCGGTCGAGCCGACCCATTCGTGATGCAACCACAATATAGCTATCTACCCCCTACAATCTTGTGACTATAATGTAATTAAGAAATGTCTTCTCTAATACTTCCATGGGACGCAATGAGCGTAATGTTCTTTTTAAAAAAAAGAAACGTTACGCTCATAGTGCGATTTTCTCATTTATCGTGGAGGCAGTTTACATACATAAATTGCACAAGGACATACATTCAGACCCAGAATAACTACTGCTAAGACATACAAATATTTTGTGGTTGATACGAATCCGCGGCCTGTAGAGCCGTAACCCAATAGTAAGCTACGCCACGGAGCCGTCTTATGTGGATCCTCTAAGTCTAACGCAGCAATCGAAAACATTCTGATTAGAAGTGTAATAAAATTTTAGTTAGTAATACTTCACATATTTCTACGTTATTTTTATTGCGCATCAGTATTGTTTTCATATGGCGGAAGGATATTGGAGTAGGGGGAAACATTGTTTGTGATATTTCAACCAGAAAATATTGAGTTAAATTTGTCCGGAGCCAATACATAGGGACGCGGCCCGTTTTGATATATTCTTATAGACTTTCGTGAAAAAGAAATATGCAAACTTGTTTACGGTAATTTAATGTTAATCGATTATTTATTTATCGATAAATAATTAATATATAAATAATACCATTTCCCTTTCCTTGTATTTCACTCACTACTCACTACAGCTCATCACAAGCACAGTATACTATATATTTACTGTGTCACAAGTCCCTTGCTAAACAACATGCATCGATTGCGTGTTTAATGAGAACTCTTCCACGCTGATAATCTATTATATTAATTTATTTTACTTTTTGTTCTAATTTTAATCGCAAATATGTGTAAGCTTCTCTTTACTCAGATTATCAAATGCGTCATCAAACATTTAAAAAGTAATATGATCAATAACTTAGCTAGACCCAATTAATAAAATGGCTTACAACAAAAATACACTCCTATTTTTATCTAATTGGGTCAAAACTTATAATAGCTATAATGGAACAAAATTGTAAGGGTTCCTTTTCTATCACAGAAAAACGTTTTACGTTGTAGGGCTGTGCTGCAGCTGTATTTTGATTGTAGCACGAATAAATAGGCTCGACCGGGGAAAGATCACGCTCTCACAGAATACCAGTGAAAAATAGTAACTGGAGACCCTTTTCACTGGAAACGAGGCATTTCATCTTGGACCTCAGGGGTAAAAACATATCTGCATTTCGTTTTCAATCAAGGGTAGGAGATATGATGGACTGTGAACTCGCCCTTATTTTATAAAAAAAAAACAATATGACTTCAAGCAGTAACCACAGAATAAATAATAGTACTACGTACAGAAGTTGCACTCCTTTGATTTTGACAGCTTGCCGACGTTTTAATAGCCTACATAATTATTATTAATCAGATAAATCGAAGCTGAATAAAACTTTATCGCTGCGCGCGAGTGTCCGTATTACTTTACATCTTTTCCCCTTCCTACGTCACGACAAACTTTCCATGGTTACTAAGAGCTGTTAATAAAGAGTAACAAAATATATTGTGAAATGATAAGTTAGTTTTTAGGTAAAGTAGGTACCTATTCTGACTATAATCGACCATATTTTCGCTACTATGTGAGTTCTGCGATGCTCAACGCCTGCAACTTGTAAGGCCATTCGTCGCGAATCGCGGTGCTTGGATCGGAAGAAAATATACGAATATGAATATAATACGATTCCTAAATGAAATGTGATCGTATTCTACTTAGTTAAAAATCTTGTAAACAATATTTTAATATAAATATTTTAATTAGATAAGACTTTTGAATAAAACTATTTTTACGGATTTTGTCGCGTTTAATTAACGATAAAATCCGTAAAAATAGCTTTATTCAATGTGTATTGTTCGCGTAAATATAAGAAATCTTTAGATAAGACTATTAAAGGTATGTAAGTAGGTACTTGAATAGTGAAGTAAATTTCAACTAGGTTTTGTAATAAAGTAGGTACTTAGATATTACTTGTGTAGTTAAATTATTACTTAATTCTTTTTCGCTATAAGTACCTATCTAACAAAAAAAATTAAATAAAGTTACCTTTCATTATCCTTTGGTAACTTCAAAAATGATGTCTCTGAATCCTTTTGTTTGCTTAAGCATCCATTCACGTAAGAAGGACGTTTGTAATATACAAGTATATTATTTTTAAATTACCTATATTAAAACTTTTTCAACTATTTTATCCTACAATTAAATTTATAAAACTCTAAACAAAAACTATTTCAATAAGTATTTACAAAAAAACTGTTTACGTAAACAGCGTTGAAAACTTTAACATTCAATCGCCTAGAACTACGTAGCACTATTATTTATACGGTGCTAGAACGCACCAGCCCCGACTGCGTATCTACTCCCGGGGTGCCCCACGATTGTAGGTAATTATTTTACGCAGTTAGCAAGAGTGACAGAGGCCTGCATTACTACACATTATATGAAACTAATTTTACGGATTCTATCGCATTTCGGGGCTAACGTTCCGATATCATAGTTGCCCGGCTACCTTAAGGTTTTGAATATTCATTTTTGGTCCGATCTACGC